GGGGGGCTCATGAAGGCACGATGGATTACTTTGATTTACAACTTACGATTAATAAGAAAGATGGATTTTAAGGCGACTCGAATATTTCAATATTACTATTTCTTCTTCCAATATCAAAATATAAGATCTTTGAACATTTTTTCTGTATTATCTGGGTTATCCCCAGGCTAGTGTTCGGCCGACCTTAAATGTTTTTAAGGCTACATGCTATCCATGTATCCATTCACTTTCCTGACCTTAAAATATTTCATATTTCGAATTTAAATATACTTTTGTATAAGCTGTCATATTTTTCGGACGTCTTGTTACGTCTTTCTTGGAGGGTTTTGATCAATTCTCGTGCTGGCCTATATAGTTATTGCAGGATGGACAATAGTGCTTCTTCACCAGGCAGGAGTCCATGCAGTAGGGGCAGGGGGCACATGGCCAACATCTGTAGTGACAAAAAACATCAGTTTGTTATGTTGACGTGAAACTTGAAATTGACTGGATAAGCCAATTTTTCGGAAGCGTTAGTTTCCGATAGTCTCCCCAATCTAGAGGAGAGAGTAGAATTCTTATCTGATTTGTTTCCGAATGGAAGAATTTACAGTGGAAAAATGTTTTAGTTTTCCACGATGATCGTAATTTTTGGGGATTGATGCTTGATTTCAAGAAATAGATTCCTAATTTTTAGGGATTATTGACACAAATTTAGAATGAATCCTTAAAGTTCAGGGATGCAATGACTAGCTGGAATTTAGGGTGAAAATTCCTAAGATTTAAAATTTCTCACTCATGGAATTTTAGGATTCCGTCGATCACTGAAAATTGAAACTTTTTTTATATTGCGATAGTTAAATGTGGCTTAAAAAGACCATTAAAAAGGCCCTTGACCACAATAAAAAAAATCTATTTCACATAAAGATTCAGAGATATCGATAATTTTCCCAAAGCTGATTTTAGAACGATCACTTAAAAAATTATTACCAAAAGGGATTTAATCATGACTTAAAAGCTGAGTCAATGGCCTCTTTATTCTACGAGAACGATCACGCGTTTGAGCGCGCGTGTTAAAGACAAATTGTGACACGAAAACCGAAAGCCGACCGAAGTCGCACACTTGCGGGCGGATCCGAATGTTCGACCAATGAAATTCAAGGAATGAGCGTTAGACTACAGCTTACGGCGTATGTTCTTTTTAGAATAGGAATCAAGATACGATCGGATCGCACTATTCACCGTTAAGTTATACCATATTTTCTGTGATATTTTTTAAATCGGCTTTTCAATGATTACGAAGCGAATATTTGGTAATTAAATTTCACCTCGAAAAATTTCAATGCCGAGTTGACCTGTTATAAAAATGGAATAATAACTGAAATGGTGTCAATTAATTTTCCTCCATGCAAGCAAAGAACACCAATAATCACCACTGAACATTTTAGGTCAGGCAGAAGCTAATATTTAACGCACCCTGGGCCATATTTTACGATCGTGACGTTAGTCTAACGGCAGCTACAATGTGAGCCCTCTTTGATGGCGGGTTTCTCCATTACCGTAACAACGGAATAGTATAGACTATTTTGGGAATGAAAAAATGTCTTCATCACTTCACCCGTGAAGCTCAAGGGTGACGTAATAAAACGTAATATTTCGTTGCAAGGCCGAAAAGTTGTTTTTGACCGAGGGAAGAGTATAATTTTTTCCACATGACCGTGAGCGGCATTTGACGGAAGGTCCAATCAGAATGGCAGGGATGAGAATGCGCGGGAAGATTTCGCGATCTGATTGGGTTTGCGGATGGGGTTATGTTCTTCAAGGCCGGGTGTTGAATTAGTGCATTCTGGTAGGGGTTAATATTGATATTATAAGTGTTTATTGAACAAAGATATACACTACACCTATGTAATTCTCTGTAGGAAGAATTTATTCACGCGAAAGGCACGTAAATAACTCACGAGAACAATTACTACTACGGAAATTATGTTTTGGTGGAAACTTTCTTTTAGTCCACAAGTAAATTGTTTCAACTCGACAAAAGATCTCTCCCGGGAAACATAATTTTTCGGCAGAGCTAATTTTTTCTCCCACTGCACGAAATATCATAAATGCTGTGCACCGTTAATATAAAAATTAGCATTTAATTATCAACGGTATGATGTCACGTCTATTTCCAATTAATACGTGACGTTCTGTGATCATATAAAAAAATACGGATCACGACAAAATGTTCTCTTCACGAGCCTGATAAGAGATATTCACAGAGGTGTTTTGATTCTTGACGCCAACCAAACGAGTTATGAGGCTGAGTCATTCAATTTAGAGAAAAAGATTTTCAGTTATCCACCTGTAACTTCATCCGGATATTCCGCACTTTTGAGACTGATTTTTGTAACTCACCCAAGCAAACAGAGAAGGAGTGCGAACAGATGAGTTTTAGTATTAGACTCGCCCTCGACTCTCGTGGAAATATCAGCATGACAATGAGGACATAAAATCCTCTGGCTTACGGGTCCTAGGGCAACGTGCTGGGACATGATGACAGCTGTAAGGATGTTGAACAAATGAGAAAATTGCGAAAACAAATTGGCCGAGTGAAACAACGATTGATCTCGAGACTATTTTTGATCTAGCAAATTTAGACACCGAGGGAAATGATGTATGTGAGTCCAATGAAGCTCTTTATTTGAAAATTTCCGTCCATTTAAACAATATTCTGTTGACAATTAATAAACTTGTATACTTATTTGAATGGAAATATTCTTATTCTATGAATTTGATAATTCCAAATCAGCAATTTTTTTATTCAAATAGAGAATTATTACATGTTAATAAATTCGTTCTTCTCACTGTGTGAAGAATGATTTTATTTTACGATTTCACTTAATTTCCTAAAGTCTTCATTTGGAGGACTTAACTATTTCTTTGTATTAAAAAACGTATTTATTTCATGTGAATGAGAACACGAATTAAAATCAAATAGAGAACTTCATTTTAATTCATAAAGTCGTCATTTGGACGAATAAATAATTGTTTTCTATTGAAAGACGTATTTATTTCATGTGAAAGCACAATGAAAACACAAATTAAAATCACGTTTAAATTCAATTAAAAGCTTTTTTCTAAATGATCAAACCATTTATTTAATTCAATGTCAATTTTTGGATCGGCAAGAAATTTCCGGAATTTCGTTAGGAATTTGTCTCTATAAGTTACTTTTCCTCTTCAAAAAATACTATTTGGTGGCACGCTGACATTTTCCAATGCACCTGCGCCACGTGTTCAAAAGTCGCATCACCACAGAAACTATCAGTAAGGGGAAAGAACACTGAGGAAAGAATTTCTGATTTCTGCAAAATAAATATTTATTTAAGAGGTACTCCAGGTACTCCGAATTAGGTTGCACGTTCTACAATTCACATTTATGATTCATGTCATGGAATAATTATGGGCATGACCTTGAATGAATTATTCAGCCATTATATACATTAGAAATGATCACAAATTTATCGCATCAGAGTCTCGTTACGTTTGGATGATCCTGTGTTTCTGCTGACTGACATTTTGTTTATTTAAATATTTTTGCTCATTTCTTTGCATAGTATGTGTTCCGCCACAAATATTAGTAGAAATAGTTTGACTACACGTAGACCGCCGTCAAGAGCCTGATGAAGCTAAAATAATTTAGCGAAACATCGCACTGACAATTTAATCGACGTCTAATTATTTCTCCAATATCCCTGGCCTTTCTTAAATTAATGAATATCATGGAGATGAGAATACCTCGACAACTCCATTTTTGAAAGCTGATAAAATTCACTCAAGTAAATATTTATTCAACAGTAATAATTCTCTTTCTCAGCGAAGAAATGAGAGACTCGATTCTTTGCTTTCGACTTTTTCTTCTCCCTCTGCTCGCCGTGAACTCGCAATTCCCGAGAGTCCATAGATTATGTTTATTCATTAACGACTGATATGAAATATTGTGTAATACATAGTCACAACATATTGCAAAACTTATTCCTATCTAGTACAAGTCTATAAGCACCAAGTTTTCCCGAGAAATACAGGGAAATGAAAAACTTGAATCGATATTACGTCGCAAGTTCATCGGGTGAACGATTCAGTGTTCGAAGGCAGTAATAGCGTGAATAGGGAAAGGTCACACAAGGTCCCATTGAATTTATGAACATTATATCATCTTTCTAACAAGACAAAAGTACCATTCCACCGCATAAATGATTTTTTCAACGATACATATGTTCGCCGGATGAATTCCGCAGCGAGGCCGAAAACCGGTTCAACTCGACTTCGCTCTTAGCTGAGTTTTCGAGGAATATCTCCGAATCTACGAGAGATATCGAAATTTTCGTAATGACCTTTTTCGTAGCTCTCGATTCGCTCTACAAAAAGGGTGATAACAAAAATTTTGCTATCTGGCTTAGATTCCGAGATATTCATTGAAAACTGATCAATAGTAAAAATCGGATTGAATCGTTTTACCCATTCGCTGCTGACTTGCGCGGTAACTAAATTTAGTTGATCACTGAACGGGTTTGAACACTGGCCAGTTTACTGTAGCTATGGAATTCAGCTCACCTTGTTTTCCGCTAATCAACAATGTCAATTCTTTTGTTTATTTCACAGACTAGTTCTGCGCTGTTGTCTTTGGCGGGTGACTGTCGTGTGAAGCGATAGAACTCGAATTGAAGAGTGAAGGCTATCGGGCTGATACTGTATATAGCACTAGAGGAAGATGATTCCTGGTTTGAGAGGTGGACTGGTGGAGTGGGGAAACCCCATTCGAACACCGAAATTCAGAGAATTCGAAAAGTGGGTGATACTGTAGAGTTGTGACGTCAGCGGTGAGTTCTGATGGGTTTCGTTAATTTTTGACGGTTTGAAAATAACGGTATTTCGACGGCCGGAAGAGTTTTCAGATGTTCGAAACGCAATATACCCTAACCGGGTCGAAGCGATGTAAAATAACGATAAAAAAAAAGATGTTTGGAGATTGAAATGACAATGCATCCGTCATTTCTGCATTCTATTCAGATTTTCTATTTTTCCTCCCTCGATTGATTATTAATTACGTAAGTGCGGGGAGAGAGGAGAGAATACCAATGAGTGGATTTGATGTGATTTATCGTGAGGTGTGGTTGAATCGTTGGGTAATCAATTGATTATTATTACTGCGATTCAACAGAGGGAGGAAGTGAGATGGGATTTTCCACGGAGAGAAATGTTCAGTAAAAATTACGGAACTCAGTTCGCTCGCCGATTACGGAATCGACTCGGAAAATTGAAGTGACGGTATCGTAATTTTTCGCAGGCGATTCAGGTAAAAATTACGGAACGCTCTGGAAAAATTCTGTGATTTTAGGTAAAAATTACGTGACGTTCCGTAAAATTTCTTACAACCACTCGAGTGGAAATTTTAGTCAGGTCTTGATCAGACACTGATCAGGTTACCTTATCAGATTCTGGATTTTCTACTAGGGCACATTTCACTCCGGAATATTTCTCTCCGTGTAGTTGAAAAAATCGGTAGACGTTGGAGAAATATCAGCCACGTTCATTGGATTTTATAAGGTTGCGACGTTTCGATGAATTATTTAGATTTCTGAGGCTCCTGACCTCATCACTGCTCAGTTATGTTATACTTCAGGATGTTAATGTTGGGAGTGATTGGATCAATCACATAGTTTTTAATTCACTGAAAAATCAATTACTTGAAAGCAAAAAATAATAGCAATCGATGGATTGATTGTTGGCATTAGAATTCAACAAAGTTGAAGAGAAACGGAGATTAGACGGGTTTGAAGAATTCTAGCGAATCTCTAAAGAATTTCGCTTGAAGAAATCGCACGAGGGAATCCTGTAGAGAATTCAATATTTTCAGTAGGAAAAAATGACCGTAAGAAAATCGCTATGGATAACGATTAGGAGCTGAATATCTTACGATTCAAATTGGGAAACTCAGGAGGTGTTGCAGGTAGACAGCCACGTTGGTTAAATCATCAAACAATGCGACGTTTCTATGAATTATTTCCTATGTCCAGTCATGTTATAGTTCAGGATTCTAATGTTGAAAATGATTGGATCAATCATCGATCAATTGATTCTTGTCGTTAGAATGCAACAAAGTTGAAGAGAAAATGGAGATTAAACGCGTATGAAGAATTCTAGAGAATTTCTGTAGAAATTCGAATATTTTTTGCAGGAAATTTTTCATCAGCGATGATTGGAAACGGAACATCTTACGATTCGGATTAAAAATCTAAGGAGGTTTTGGAGGTATGCAGCCTCGTTGATTAAATCGTCAAAGAATGCGACGTTTCGATGAATTATTTCAGATTTTTTAGGTTCTTGACCTCATCAATGTCCAGTCATGTTTTAGTTCAGGATTCTAATATTGGGAGTGATTGGATCGATCATCGATCAATTGATTCTTGGAGAAAAAAGTGAGATTAGACGCGTGCGAAGATTTCTAACAAATTTATATAGAATTTGAATGACGATAGGGAGCTGAACATCTTACTTACATCAGATGTTGGAGAACTGTCCACCACGTTCATTGGATTATTTACGATTGCTACGGTTCGACGAATTCTTTCAGCTCCCTCAGGCTCTTGACTTCATCAATGTCCAGTCATATTATAGTTCAGAATTCTAATGTTGGAAATGATTGAATCAGTCCTCGATCAATTGATTTTTGTCATTAGGATTCAACAAAAATGACGAGAAAAGTGATATTAATTCCGCATGAAGAATTCTAGCGAATTTCTATATAATTTCGTTTGAAGAAATGGCATGAGGTAATCCTCATTCATTGTGCAAGTTGAAGTTGAAGAGAAAAGTGAGATGCCGTGACGATGGTACCTCCACGTAGTAAATATCCCCCCGAAAATGAACGAAATTGAACTCACCGAGTGTTTCAGCCAATGCGGGTAATTAAATAAAATGTTCCACTTAAAAAATTTGAATAATAGAATTCTTCTCTTATTTCGATGTTACAACAGGTCTCATACTGTCTATACAAAATTATTCAACTCTCTTAGGCACTCATTCGTTGTTTCCGTAGATTTGTTACATATTTCGGTTGATTGTTTCGGTTTCTTTTATCGCAACACGCTTGAGTCTCAAAAAATTGATGATTGAAAATGTTCGTTGATAAAATTGAGAGGAGGTGGGGGTTAATATTTGTTAATCGGCAACAATGCATATATCAATTTTTCTAAAAACAATTTTTCCATGACAATTGATCTATCGTACGTGAAAAATAAAATGTTATAAAACGATGAAAATGGTCAGTAGCAACAGTGGAGTTGGGAAATCGAGGGGAAACGGGGAGGGGAAGGGAGGGAGGGAGATGAAGGCACGATGAATTATTTGAATTTACAAATTACAATAAATAACAAAGATCGTAGCAAAATGATGTCTGAATTAAAGGCGACTCTAGTATTCTAATATTTACACAAATTACTTTTTTCTCTCTTTTATCTCTCAATATCAAAATATAACACGATCTTTCAATATTTTCTTCAGTATTTTTTTTTTCACTTCTATAAAACAAATTCTGCTCGTCATGTTTCAATTATAAAAATACCATTTGTATCTATTTTTTCTTTTTTTTCTTTCTGTCATACGGCTTGATTTCTCTCCATTTTTTTCGTTTAACGTTATTAATCAGACTTCGTCGGATGCAAGATACTCTTTGTCGTCAGTTGTTGCTGACTTTTCATTTCTCTCTTCCTCTTTCATTTGTAACGCAACAGCCGACTCCAGTACACGAATTCTCCCCTCGTGTTTCACTATTACTGCCTTTAATTTACGTATTTCCTCGGCAAATTCTTTGATGATATCCTCCTGTTGATTGATGATGAAAAAATAAATCAATTAGACTCGATGAATTATTCAGTATCGGGGGAAACAATTCCGACAATGATAAATTACTCACGGATATGCCTGAATTTTGCGAAGAATTTTGTGCATTAGCTCCTACTTTGGCACCTTTACCAAGTACATTGGCCTTTTTCGTAACTTTTAGTTCATTTTTGGAGGTAGCAGGTTGATAACCGTCTCTCAGAGATATGAGGAGAGGTTCGGCGTCAGTGCCGTTTATCCACTCTTCAGCTGATATTGCAGCTGTGTGACCCGGTGTGTCGGGATAGAGATCCTCTTGGAAGAGCTCAGACTGAAATTTTAAATTTACAAAAATTTTATCATTCAGAATTGTGAATCATGACATTCATTGCAAGTACATGGGTAAGAGATTATCGATCTTATCCTTCTCCAATCTTTCTATAAATATGTTCTGCACGATCTCCCCCTCCCCCTCAATGACGTCAGACCCTTGAGATTTTCCTGCCTCGAAGAGGATATTATGCTCTTACACGTATCTTTCAATTAACTGGTATTCGCAAAGATAATATATCGGTTTTTTTCATTGGTTTGAAAGAAAGAAAAGGAGTAGATCGATTTCTGAGGCTTCCGCCTTCTACCTAGATTATAAACTGTTCTAGATATGTTCAGATAGATATGTTCAAATACTCAAGGGTAAGATCTTGGATTGTTTGGAAAAAGTAATGAGAAAAGATTCATGGCTTAAGAATCTTTGTTATTTTAAGTTGTCACTTATTGAAATGAAAATCAACAGAAAACTGAAATTTTTATTGCGATTTTAAAATTTCCGTTTGGACTTTCTCTCTTTTTTTTTAATTAAGGAATCCGAGAAAACGACTTGAAAAAATGATGCCCAACCTATATTTAAAAATTTTCAACAAAATTAGTTTTAGAGAGAAGAAAATCTATCAATGTTTTCACATTAAATGATGGCAAAAACGAAGAGATTGATGAAATTGCATAAACCATTCAAATAAATTCTCATACAACATCAATAGCATTTTGTAGCAAATGTGCTAAGTTTCTAGTGCACGTTTCTTTGACCGCGTGCAAATTTGTATAAATTACAAAAGATAGCAGCTAAAATTTAAATAAAATTTAAATAGTATAGTCGAGAAACTCGAAAGCCCCTGCGTACGAAAAAAGTCCATTGAAACAATCAAGATTTTCATCTTTCTATACAACTTTCTTTTTTATTGGTTCTACACAACTTATTCTACTGAAATATTTTTCTATAGAAATTCCCCAAGAAAAATTTCCCCCTCTATTTTTCCTCCTCATTGAAAAAATCAAATAATAAACTCAAAAAATTTGGGCTAAGGGATTCCCGCACAGAATATCTCAATAGAATAAATTCTACAGAAAATCGAATTCTATTGATGTTTTTTATAAAATATTTTCTACTGGATATTCTGATCAAGAGAAAATCAATAGTTTTCATTAGAAATTCAATAGAATTTTTAGAGGATTTACTAGTTTTTAATGAAATCCTTCACAATGTGAAGGAGGAGGGAACGTGCCTTGTTCTGCTAGATAAAAATTAGTCACCTGTTATCTTCAACAACGAGTATACTTTTTGATTATTTGTAATGACTCACCTTTCTAGGTACAGTCATTGAGATAACCTGGCAAAAGCCAGAATTGTTTAAGCGGTAAAATCTACTGATTTCACAACTATTAACGTCACAGCCACGTTTTGGCATCATTCCTATTCCTCTTTGGGGGTCTGGCGTTTGAAAGGTATTAATATAATGAACAAATGGTGGCTCTGGTGTTATCTCGAAGTAACGTATTACAGAGTCACCTTTGCCGCATAGATAAACGAGA